CCCCCCCGTCCACCTAAAAATTCTACTGTTGCCCTTTAATTCTGTCCCATCTACATGCATGTATTATGCAGCAGATCGAGACAGCTTGATGAGATTAGATAAAACTTCAAATGTCCAGAGTGGTACTTAAGTGAAAAAAGAAAGAAGAAAACCCCCAAACTGATTGACTGTCTCAGTGATGACTGTATGTGCCTTGTTTTGAGTCTGAAAGTAACTTCTTGTGCTGCATTCTTAAACTGACAGAATAGAAGCATAACCAAATGACTGAGTTCAAGAAATGAGTTAAGAAAATGGTGACCTGAATTTTGGTTCTCTTTGAAATTCTGATCCAGAAATACTTTATTGTAGCTGCACTTTATGTTAAAACTTAGGATTTTTTTTCAACCACATGTGTATATTTGGGCTTTGTTGTGAATTGATGCTGATGAAAAGCATAAATGACTTGATGAAAGTTTGTCAAATATAGAAGGCTGTGCACCTGACAAATCTTGGCTAATGCTATAGTCCTAAGGCTGATCTCGGAGATCAATCTCTGGACCAAAAAATGAAATGGACAAAGTAATGAATCCTCCTGAGTAAGAAGCTTCCTTGGTTTCATTTGATAATTCTGTAACCCTACTGCAAAGGCTGAATGGATGACCTAAATGTTGTTCCAAATCTCTGATTGTTTCAAGTCTCTGAGCAAAAGAATAATTTGATCTTAAACATGAAGTCCTGCATTCAAGGATTTGACTTTGGGTTTGTAGAAGATTTCAAGAAAACAATAGTTAAAGGAGCTGGCAGAACTTAGAAGCAATGTATGATGTACACTGTTAGGCATTTCTTTGCGACTGTGCAGTTTGAAACCCACACAGGCTAGTGAACTGCCAAAGAAGTGCTTGCCTATCCAGGTAGGGAGGTACATCACCAGTACTATCTTTCATATTCCTGGTGTGACTCATAAGCAGGAAGAGACACTCAAGTTTATTAGGGAGTAACGTGTGTGTTAGTAGATAATTTGCATGGGGAGAAGGAAAGTGGTGAAGAGCTGAAATATTAAAAGGTGCAAATGAAAGGTTGTCAAAAGTACTAATCACTTTTTTCTTTTTTTTTTCTTTTTTCTTGCAGACCTTCAAGTGCTGACCTTCTTGGTCTATTAAGTTATTATAAACTTTTGCTGCTCTGCGAACATATAAAGATGTCTCGCAGCCCTGATGCTAAGGAAGACCCTGTGGAATGCCCCCTTTGCATGGAGCCTCTGGAAATTGATGACATCAACTTCTTCCCTTGCACCTGTGGCTACCAAATCTGTCGTTTCTGTTGGCATCGTATCCGCACTGATGAGAATGGACTTTGTCCTGCTTGTAGAAAGGTAAATATCCTGGAACAGCGGCGTGTCTTGCACATATCACAAGGCTCTTGCATTGTGTTGGTACCAAAGACATCCTTTTCCTTCGGGGAAACATTCATCTAGTCGTGGCCTAGTTCAAGGGTGAGGTGTTGGATCTTTCAGATTCTATCTGCATACGTGTCAAAACTGTTGTGCAACGGCTAGTCTTGGTTTGTAAAATTCAGAACTGGATTAATAGGGGAAGCTGTGGATGAGAACCAAGGCATGCTGATGCTGGGAGAACTGCCAAAAAAAAAAAAAAAAATCTTTTGAGTTGGGGTGCTCATGCATTGACAAAGTCTTTTCAGAAAGGACAGTGAGGATTCCAGCATCAGGGGTTTGCTGAGGGCCAAGGTTCAGCTAAACTAGCAGAGCTGTCTGAAGCAAGCTTATAAAGCACCTGCTTATTTTGTTTGTGGCACTGGAGCTTTTAATCCATATTTTTCTGGACACTAAACATATAAAACCTTTGGAAAATATATCCAGTGGTGTTAAACTTTAAAGCATTTTGAAATCTAGGCTAAGTCTATTTGTCTAGTATTCAGATCTTGTTGCCAAATGCTTAAAGGTAGTACTTTGAGAGTCTCACTTAATTTCTCCCTGTCTCTTAATTGATGTCTGGCTGATACTTTGGTTGGCCACAACTATAAATTTCATCTTCACTAAGTTGCCTGCTTTTTCCTTTGAGTTATTTTCCTCCTCCTTTTAGTGTTCTGCTTAACCTCATTATTTCCTTACCTTCAGTGTTTAATAAAATTCTTTCTCAAGGTCGTCTTCTCTTTAATGACTTCCCTTGATTGTAACTTTCTTGCCTGGCCTTCCTCTTTTTGTAATCGCAGCTACTTATGTCCCCTCTTTCTCCTGCTATTTAATCCTACCCTCAGTTTATGCCTTTGTTGGCTTCCTGTCTCATATTACAGCTCCCTTTTCAGACCCCAAGTGATCTTACTTGGTCTCACTATCTTTATTCACTGCCACAGCTTTCTATAAGCACTTCCAGTCATATTTTCTTGTTGCTCTTTTGGGCTTTGGCTACAGTAGAGCTATCACTGCTAACCTGTGTTTGGACGCCTCTGCAAGCCTGAAGGCTATCCCACAGCAACGTATGTTTGTTAACAAATTGTGCAAATTTGCTGCAATATTTGAGCCCTGTCTTCTACAAGGAAGATCCACCTGTCATCAGCCAAATCAGTCTCCGCATGTGATACCTGCTGTAGATGACACATGCTGTATAGTAATTTTCATAATACAACTAAATTTCTAGTCTTCTGGTACAACATGAGATTTCTGGAGTTTCCTTGTCTCTGGCGTTTCATTTACCTGGATTTATTATGCTACTTTTTGGCAACAACTACTTGATTCACCTCTGCCTGTTCATTATTGGAAATTTGTGGAATATATCTGAAAAATCACAGAAGCAGCATGCTATTCACTGCCTGTGGGTATCTGAATTCTTTGAAATATGGATACTGCCATAGCTGAACTTTTTAATGTGCAATAATCTGGCATATGATTGGATGTGCAAATACTTTGCTGAAATGGATACAGTTCACTCAGAAAAACAGTTTCGGGAGAAAAGCTAAAATGAGTGCTACAGTCGGCATGAAGCACACTAACCATTCCAGGAGAGGAAGGAGACCTCTTCTTTCACAATGGATGAGGATTATGTTCTTGATACTTTCTTCACCCATGGACTGCAAGATGTTCTTGAGTAGAGTTGCAGCTATATCGCTGGATTGTAGGAGATTTGGATGGAGGAGGCTGAGGAGTGCACTCCTTTTGTGGCATAGACAAAGACATTATCCTGGAGAGACTCCATCAGGATCTTGGGAATAAATCACTTTGAGCTACACAGTTGATGGCAGCATCAAATAAGTCTGAAGAAGCTACCTTTTGAAGTGTGCTGGACCTTTGGAACCAGGTATGTGTTTTTGTGTGCAGTATGTCTAAATAGTTCCTATCTGTGTGTAGTGAGGTTTCTGGGGGAAAGAGCTAAGCAGTTTTCTGACTCGTATCTACTATGATTTATATTGGTTGTGACCACTTAAAATGCTGAAGCGCAGAAAATGGCAAAGCAACAAAATTTTTGCAGGAAAGTTTATAGTAGGTACTATGGCTTCAACAGGTACATCATATTTATAATGCATATACCAGTGCAGGATACTTACTGCAAAATGGACTGTGAATAAACATATATTAAAGCAAGGCTGAGTATGTTATGCACAATTACATAATAGAAAGCTGCTATTTGTGCCCATGGTATTGAATGCAATGCGAGTTCTACAGTGGTTTGATCACTAGTCTGTGGAGGGGAGCAATGAAGAAGTTCCATATCCAGGGATTTTGGTTGAAAGGTTTGGGGAAGATTTTGGAAAAGTCTATGATAAAATAGTTTGGCTATACACTATAGTGGTACCTATGCCATTAGTTTGCTAGATCTTAACTGTGCATTGCATATATACCATTATTTTCCTAAGCTTCTCTAATTTACTTCTAACTGAAAAGATGTTACCTTGCAGTTTTTTTTACCAAGGAGAAAATACTTCTACATGCTTCAATTGTTATATAGCTTAACACTTGCATGTGCAGAATATGTTCGTGTGGTTGCAGTCAATTGAGTTAGTGTGTCTTAAGTTTCCTCCTGTGAGTAACAGTAGTAGACAAACATTTGCTTTGTTTTGATTTGTGAAAGCAAGGTGCTAGTATGAATTTAACTTGAATGCTTGTTGGGAACTAGTACTTGTTAGTCTTAACACATTACAAGCTTTCTAAACTTTGCCTGAGTCTTCTGAAATAGACTCGGAAATTGTTTAATTCATTAACTACAAAAAGTACTTCCTTTAAAAAAATAGAACTGACCTGCTTTGAATTCCCTATGCCCTTCAGAATTGTAGGTGTAGTCAATTGTAAGATGCTAAGCAAGCCTTCCTGTGTTTTCCAGTCAATTGATTTCTTAACTGTGAGTGAAATAGCTGCTAACTAGTCAAATTAGAATGAAAATATGCTGTCCTCAAAAAAGACTTCTGTAGCCAAAAGCTGGTTTACAGGTCACCAGACTCGCTGGTTCTGGTTGTAAAGCCAGTGTTTTTTATCTTTGCAGTGATTTTTCTTTTTTCTTTTAAAATTCAGCCGCATAGGTACTGTTTGTCATATGAATAATATGTACCATTTCGGTCACCTGTGTTGCTTTAATCGAGCATAGCATTCTCATACCTTAGTGTCAGTTGTTGCAATTTTTAAATCCAACAATAAAAAAAGCCTAGCTCCTTCATACTTCTTAATTGCTTTGCCCTTCCACCAAATAATATAACTTGATACACAGCTGTTTCTGTGGTGTGGCTTTGCCTTGTTCTCTGGTTCCTTGACTTAGTGAGCTTTATTTGTCCTAGCACCTCGTGTTAGAGATGGAGAGAAATAGTAAATTGCTACATTTATGAACAAGAAACTAATACGTTTTAAGCATGGTTTTGTACATGTTTCTCCTCCTCCTGCTTCTGTGTAAAAGGAACACCTGGTCTTAATGCACAGTCTCCAAATGTCAGTTGTTTCCTCTGGTGCTTTTAATCCCACAACTGAGTAGTTTGGTGCAACAATTGATATTTAGAAATATATAGGAAATGGCTATTTTTTGCTCTTGATACAAGTAGTATGGTGTATACTATGCATAAACCTTACTGACTCTCTCTGTATTTCTCATTTCAGAACCTATTCGGTAGCAAGGCAACAACTGAGAAATGTTGGTACATCCATTGTGTGGAAGGAATGTGACCCATCTGGGAATGACAAAAGCAAAGTGCTTGATAAATCCCAGCTCAGCTTTCAACAATTGGGAAAATGTGGGGAAAAAAGTCTGAAAGAAAACAAAACTTAAATGACAAGACAAACTTAGTCAGGAAGACTGAGAATTCATCAAGGGCCATCTCTGGTTAAAGAAATGAGACTGCAGAAGAAACATTCGAACTTTTGATGAAGTTCTTTTCTTGTAGGACTACCAGCAACTTTCAGTTAGTGTAAACAAAATCTGGTCACTTTCCATGTTGGCACATCTTATTCAGGTGGCTTCCATGGTTTTTGCTGAAGAGGATTTGTATAACTTCAGTGGAGGGTTGGCTAAACTTAGTCAGTGAATCAGTGATGTTGACATCTCTTAATGTCTTGTACCTGAAAATATACAAAAGCTGATAAGACTTGATGTAGCTACTGTGCTTGGATCTCAAATCCTCTACCAGCTAAGGAATCACTGATAGTAGGTTAAACAAGTATCTTATGCTTCTTGTTTTTTAAAAAAAAAAAAAAAAAGTCATGTCAGTAGCATTGCCACTTCAACTGTTGTAAGACCTGAGAGCTTCTGGTACCTGTGGTCCTACCCCTGTTTTGTAGGGTTAGACAGAGAGTAAACAACAGATGAAACAGTACTGTGAGATACACCAGCAGTCAATCCACTTTGCTTGGCTTTCAGAGCCGTGTTCCACCAGCCTTCCCTGCATGTGTTCTGTCTGTAGTTGAACTATCATCTGAGTTCATGAACTTCAGCACTGTGGGAAGCAATCACTCTGAAGATGAAATCATTTATTGCCCTATTTGTAGACTGACTTTATGTCCTTGTTTGAAAGGAACAGGATTTCTAAATCTTACTGTTTTTTAGAATTAGCTTCTGAAATGTTGGTGTTGTGCTTACTTGCCTTCCTCCCTCCTTAAATGCACAATATCTCTTATCTCTCATCATGCCACACATTATAGACAGGAAAATCATCTATCACTTCTCAGTATTGTGTTTTTGATTTATTCTTGGGATTCAAGAGGTGTGCGCAGATGCATTTACAGGTCCTGCAAGTCAGGATATCCAACTACTCATATTCCTTAGAAGCATTAAACATGTCATAAGAGTGATAAACATACATATGAAACATTTCATATATAATGCAGCTCTACAGTATCTAGCGAGAACTTCTGGTGATTCTGTTGCTCAAATGTGCTGTTATCCATGGTGGCAAATCAACTGCTATACTACTTAATGACTGAAATCCTTATTCAGGCACACTCGTACTTCTGCTGAGATTTCTCTTCCCTGATTCTGAAGTTGCTGTTTAGTGTTAGCACTTCTTGTGCTCTGCTGTACAAATACAAACTACTAGTTTTACTACAGACAAATAAACATTTTTCTCAGGGTTATGCTTGAGCTGCCTGGGATGTCTCCTGACTAATGTTTAGGACCTCCAGTAGCAAATAGCTGTACAGAGAAGGAACATACTGTCTGTCTTGCTTCTCATTTGAGAATATGATCTGAATGTGGCTATACTTGGCAAGAAAGAAGCTGATGAACTTTGGCACTGTTTGCTGTAGTTTTCTTGGACCTTCAGGAACCTTCAGGAACCAACTAAAAACCATGAATTCATTTCTTGCACGGTACCAGAGAGCAGCACACTTGCAAGCCTTGCCTTGTATAGTATGGGATGTGGAGAAGGAATTAATCTGTGAAAGGATGGATTGTGGGTATGATACCACATCACTTGATGTAGGGCAAGCCATTTTATTTTTTGAACTGTATCTACCTTATACTGGTGCACTTGTTTTCTTCCCGTTCCTACCTGAACTCAGCTTGACGGTGATAACTGAATTAACTCTCTCTTTGCTGAGCAGTCTTTCTCTTCCCTAAAACAAAACAGTGTCTGTTCTTTATTCTACATGATTGACTAACACAGACTTTGAGAATCTCTTTAAATAAGTGAAGTGCCTTGCAGAATTATTCTGTATCTCTGAAGTCCTCATGGGTACATGTGTTAAAACTCCAGATAATCATTGGCTATAGCTAATCTCAAATGACCTTACTAACAAGACATTGCTGTTCATCAAGTACATTGTGAAATCTGTATAAGGTATTCAGTGTTACTTGTGAATAACATAACTTTTTAAGAAACGGTACAGTTTTAGCTGTTCTTCAAGAGTAATATGAGTCCTTATTGTGTTTTCGTGTTAAGGACTTAGTTGTGTACCTTTGGCTACTGCTAAAGGATCTTACAAGTTTAAATTCCTTTGTGATACTAAAAACATGTTTCAGAGGCTTGGTGTTAACCATGAGATGCCATCTGCTGAAGTCGACTGCAGCATATTTTCAGAAGATGTCTCAAGTATAGCATAATGATGCTGAACTTTAAAATCTTCAAACTGTAAAATGGATCTTGTTTTGTTTGGGGATGTACTCAGAAGACTACTACGTCTGAGCACTTGGTGGCTCTTTCAGTAGCATCATACAAGTATGAGGAATATATGCTTTTAACTTAAACCTTATTTTAATCTGCTGCTGTAGATTTTTCTCAGGTCATTTCGTATGACAACTAGTTTTGTATTCTACCATTAATAGAGAACAGTCAGGAAAAAGTTAAATTCATTTTTGTTGGACTTGCACACTGAAACCTTTGGTTATGGTAGTACAGGCAAAGAACTTAGTTCAATGTATTCATGAGCTTAACTTCTTTAAGTCTTTACCTTAATGCATATCTCCTGTACTCTTCTCATTTTTTACTTCATCTCAGTGTTTACAAACAGTTTTTATTTGAGATATATATTTTTATATATTTGCTTCTGTGCTTAGCATTGCTTTATATTTAAAGTGTGAAATCTAACTTTTCTGTCTGAGAAAACTGGGACAGGTAAGGAGTATGGGACTGCTTTGAGGAGTAATAGGGGGCAGAGGACAGTGCACTGTAGTCGACAAGACCAGGCTAAAATAGTTCCTTTATAGCAATGCTCTGCACAAATAGAGCAATCTTTCTAGGTAACGCTGAGGACACTTGTACTTCTGCTAGATACTTTTGAGATTAAAATCTACAGTGTTATGTCTGTGTTTGAGGAGTTATCTGTAGATGATAATCTTGAGGTTAAAAATGCACCTTTGTCCAGGGAAGATAAAGCCCAAGTTTCAAACTGGTACACAAGCATGGCAAGAATACTATTAAATCAATATGCAGTAACTGTATTGAAAACTGTCTCTTCACTAGAAGTTAACCATGTAAAGATTGAGCTGTGTAATGGTGCTACTGTCTTGAACTTGGTGGGCCACTGAAATTACATTTGTATTTTGATTTCTTATCCTGTAGTCTTTCCTTTGTAAGTATCTTAAGTTTCCAAATCTGTATCAGACAACTAAATATGAAGTGAATATGCAGGGCATGCTTTCATCCTGCTTACTATGCTATGTTAGTGAAATCTTAACAGGATGTGTTGGCTGTCGTGTTGCAGCTGCCTGTAGCATTACCTAACTGACTAGGCAGCTGAGTTAGAATGTGGCTATTGCCCAAATCAGTATTATGTCTATAAATAGGAGAATTCCATGAAAATATGCAAGATGTTCACCTTTCCCAAAGGAATGAATAGAATTATAGAATCATAGAATGCTTTGGGTTGGAAGGGACCTTTAGAGCTCATCTAGCCCAACCCCCCTGCAGTGAGCAGGGACAGCGTTAACTAGAGCAGTTTGCTGGGAGCCCCATCCAACCTGACCTTGAATGTTTCTAGGGATGGGGCCTCCACTACCTCTCTGGGCAACCTGTAATATGGCTGGCTATAACAATCGGAACAGTATAACAGAAGAAAGAAATTTGTGCATTAAAACATTGAGGCTAATGATTTTCAAATGCATTGTTTCTTACATGGGTTGTTTTTAATGGTATATGTTATATTTAGCCATATCCAGAAGATCCAGCAGTGTACAAACCACTCTCCCAGGAAGAGCTGCAAAGGATAAAAAATGAAAAGAAACAGAAACAAAATGAGAGGAAACAGAAGATATCAGAGAATCGCAAACATTTGGCCAGTGTACGGGTTGTACAGAAGAACCTTGTCTTCGTGGTAGGGCTGTCTCAGCGCCTAGCAGATCCAGAGG